TCTACCGTAAGATTCCTCTATTAAACCTGCTATTTTCCTGCCACAGTAATATTTGAAATATTTATTAGTGTTTGCTTAAAAGCAAACTACTTATAAGAATCAGCTGTCGTGATAACTACAAAAATCTTAAATATTAGATATATTAATTAATAAAGCTCGATATATGTACCATAAGCTTTATAAATATAAAATTACTTTTTTAAGAATATAAAACAGCAAGACTCAGAAACAACACATAAAAGATGACTAGTCATTTTTCATTGTAAACTTTTTCCCACGACCTTAAAAGCTTTTGATTTTATCTTAATCATAATATAACCATAATAATAGTAGTAGTAGTTGTAATATATAGACTTTGGTAGTAAGGCAGCGTCAAGCATAGATGGGGATAATAGTCTTCCTGATAATGACCGACGATGTGATGACAGAGCGAAACGCCAGGACCAGTAATAATTGTTAATTCGGAAAGACAGAGACTGCCTCTGGTTCTACATGAAGACATAATGGACAATGCAGTTGATGCATCAGGGGGCATTTTAGCACATTATATCGTTAAATATCTTTCTGTTAACCAAGATTAAGAATCGGATAAAAATCATATTTATATTTTTTCCTTAACAATTCGACCACTTAACGAATGTTAAATAAGAATTTAGAAAGTTTTATTTATATTAAACAAAATATTTTTTAGATAACAAAGATATTAAGATTTAAAATAGGAATTAAAAACATTTTATTTATTAAGATTTTTGATATAATGACGTCATCTATGCATTACTAACATCAACAGATACCTGAGCAATACGTATTATTTATATTTGACTGGATTAGAAAAGCCTTTTATTTTTTATTTGCAGATATTGGTTCTTTCATTGTTAAATACTATGGTCTGTGTTCCATAAACGGTGGCAAATTTTGGATTTGCCTAAATCCCGTTTTTTAAAAAATCTTTTTGTTTCTTAGTTCGAACATTTAAATATTTAGATTTTTCACCAACATGAAATTTCTCACATTTGCATAGTATTTTGTGTATCACATTTTTTTATTGAACAAAAATTTTAGCAAAGTCTATTTCAAAGTATTATTACTATACAAGTATATTCTATTACTATTATTACAAAACAATTACACTTGTGATTATAATTTATCAAATTTATAATGGGTAATTGTAAATAAATGCATGATAAAGATTCCTAGAATTATTTCCATTCTTTTCGAAACTCTATAGATATGTAAAGATTAATATTGTTGATTTTTTCACTAGTTTCAAAGAATGCTGACAGTGTACCTACTTACCAGATAAGTAATAAAGTTTTTCAAACCTTCCTCTCATTAGTTTTTTTAAATTGTTCTGAGTATTTAATAACTGCACATTATTTTAACTGAATATTAGCATGTTATGAATAAACCTTTTTTAGATAACTTAATATTGTGATAAATACACTATTAAGTATACAGCGTGATTTGTTTTATTATATAATAGTTTATATAAAGTAAATAACTAGAATTACGTTAATTATCATTAATTTTTTATATACTGTATAAATCTACCTTTATTGGTTGTTGTATAATGTTCAATGTTTCATATTCTTTTATTATTCATCAATTTTTCTATTTCATTTAGTTTGTCTTCATTCGTATTTGTTTTTTTTTTGTAATAACATTTGTTTCTTTTATTATTTTTTACATGTTCTTATATATTTCAGTTAAATATTTTTTGCACGTTTTATTCTATATTAAAAATTCTATGCCCAGTGATATTTTATTTTTATATTTTTTATAATACTCATTTACTATTTTGGAGACTAAAATTTTCCCTGATTTAACAGGGCATTAACAGGACACCTTCCTCAATGAACACCTTAGTAGATTGGAGCTAAGAAACAACAGCGAATGCAGATTCTGTGGGGAAAATGGGAAAACACCAGAATACCCTCGAGAATACCTAACCATTCGTGCAATAAACTTTGGTACGACTGATATAATATAACGAACAGCACATCAATACTGTTGCTTAGTTTCAATAGTTTAACTTTAATTAATTTTTTTAATTTAATTAATTAATTTAGTTTTTCTTTTCTTTATTCGTTTTTGTTGTTGTTGTTTGTGTATTAACTTAGTTTCATCTACATATTTTTATAGGTATATATTTTGAAATCCAAGAATCATAAGTGATTAGAGTTGTTGGTGAGTACAAATTGTTTTTAAATTAGAAAGAGAAAAAATTGGCGCCGGGAGGCACGTATAGTCGCCCATACTAAAATATGTTAATAAATAGTTGGTAGGCAGTTCTTTTAATTTCAAAGTAAAGGAATTTTTCCAATTTTTTTATCTGAAAAACTGCGACTTTGGCTGATTTTGATGTTATTACAAATTTTGTTGCAAATATTATTCCTAATCTTAAATTGAAAACCGCGTTTCGCTAGCTACTGTAATTTTGGAGTTTTGGAGATTTTTTTAAATTTCTAACCCCCTCCCATACCCCCTTACCAACCCCCACACCCACCGAAAACTAATGGCCAGATTCTCGGGTGCCACAGTATTTTTGTGCCAAATTTGGTTAAAATCGGTTTAGCGGTTTTTGAGTTATCGTGTTACAGACAGACGGACAGACAGACAGACACCATGAAAATATTTTGTATTTAAGTCATTTATGACGCAAATAACTCATTTTCACAATAGATCACAGTTCCTTTTACATAATAAATAGGGACATATATCGCAGACTATTTGTTTACATTTTTAGTGGGTTACATTGAAATATATAACCCGCACAAAGAAGATTATGACAGCAATATCACAAATTCTAATACACTATAGCTAGTTTTATTTTATTTTAAAGGGCTGAGCCGCTTTCAATAGCGAAACAGTAAAAGTCTAAATACATTTAAATAACGACTAAAACTCCCTGCAATGACTAAGTAAAATCGTTACATCCCCGAGAGATGACTTTTGCAGCAGGAACAGCAGGAGTTGTAGCCTCATTTCCGTATTACAATAAACGTCGAAGGCAGAATAAGGGAACGATCTTGGAGAACTTAGTTTCCCTCCCTTAACTTCCCCACTGTTCTTCTCCTCTTTACGCCCTTCCTATAATTTATTGTTTTGCGTTTACTGCTTTCTCACAGTCTTCGAGTTTTTTGAGTTAAGAAATTTAAGAGGTCTTTTTAAAGAGGATCGTTTTCAGGAGAATCGCTAGATCTATAATTTGGAAAGAGTGGATGCGTGTCGTTAGGGGAAACTTGGAGATGACAAAGGGAGATATGTAGGGGTGGATTGATTTAGTGTGGTACAAGGTTATTGTAGGAGACAAAATAAAGATAATGTATATGAATGTTATTGCGTCTGTTATTGTATAATATTTCCATTTTCCTGAAATTCTATTTACGGAACTTTTGTGTCCAAGTCAGCGTTTATATAGAAATAGCTGCAAGTGAACTGATAAACATTAAGATTTAAGACACTTTGTATGCGTAAATTAACAATCTTTTGAAAATTATTTATTTTATTATTATGTGTAGAATACTTGACAGAGAAAATTTTATCTAAAGTTTTATTTGTTTTAAAATATTACAAGTTTACCGATAATTGTTTTCTGTTTAGCAATGCTTATCATCAATAAGCTTAAGTAAACTCCACCATCTGTTTTAGGTTGTTATAAATTAGAAGTTCGTAAGACTGTACGTGATATTATACCTCCTTGCACTATTTTACATGCTTATGATAATTTAACAAACCAACTGAGAAAACAATCGAACAAAATCAATTGTTTGAATATCGAAGTATTCTTTTATGTAGGTAGTTTCTCGAAAGAAACAAATAAGTCGATGTAATTTTTCATTAATAAGATTTCTGTCTTCAAACTATGCCAATAATTAAGATATTTTCATATTTATAGATATAGTGGAATTAAACAGTGATTTCATAAAATTTTTTCTCCCATTTGACAGGCTAAACCATTTTTAATACTGGAGATAGAATAAGCTTACAAAATATAGGGGTTTTAGTCAAGTTTTATTACGTATTACCAAAAAAAATGCCATACACTCTCAAATGTTAATGGCTGGCCACAGAAGAAATCTTTTAATTAAAAAAAGTAAATACCGCATTACTAGTGATGAGCAATGCAAGAAAAAAACGACTCCTTTCTTATCCTGGTCTTGCAAGATCCAGTCTTGGTCTTGCTGCGAGACTTTTACAAGGCTTTTCAATAATTTTATACTAGAGGCACTTTCTACATAGAATATCTTTAAAAAAATTGTTTTTTTAAGTAACTTAATGCGACTGAAACTCTTAAGGAAGAATCAATATTCGATAAAAATTTTGTTAAACATGAAAAAAAGGAGACTACAAAGAGTCTTGCACTGTTCGAGTCTTGGTCTTGTAAATCTAACGCTAGTTTTGCATAAACAGCAAGACCAAGAGCAGTCTCGCTCATCACCATGCTTTAGTTATTTCTCTGAAATAGACATAATGGAATTTAAGAGAAAAAGGCTAAAAGCATCCTGTACACTAAATCGAATCAGGTGTAGCGGGCGGTAAGTGTATTTCCTTTTGCCAATTTCGCCAAACACGCTATAAATTATCCGGAGATCACGCAGAAGGAGGAAGGCTTCATAAATTCTCCTTTATTTAATTTCTTTTCGATCTTGGGAAGTTCTAAGACCATAAATAAAATACATTGTTGTTCCTTAATTGATTGAATAATCCTGTCGATCCATTAGGACCGCAAAGGCCTATTCATACACGTTGAGCAAAAAGAATTGAAAGAGGTATTGTTCTACAAGGCGTTTTTATTTATCGATGACTTGCCTGAATAAAAGGTTAATTTATGAAATGGTTGGTGCTTTTTTTTGCTTTTGAACAAAATTATTTCATTTTATTTAATAAAAAAACTTCTTATATTTTCATAGAGTTATTTCATTTGTGTGGTACAAAATAAAAACAACTCTACAGCAAAATTTTTTTACTATTTTTATCCTATCTTACTGTCTACTTACATAGTATTGATTGTGGTATTGAGTAGAACGGTATCCTACCTGAAAAAAAAATAAAAAAAAATAGTTTTAGAATTTAACTACGAAAATAATCACGAATAATTTTAAATCATACTATTGAAATAATCTTGAATAGATTCTCACTGGAATAGAAATACCGTATGATCGAAAAAATACGACCAGATCGAAAAAAATGACAATCGATGATAATTTTCGTCAAAATTATCGTCGATTGTCATTTTTTTAAGGTCATTTACTAAAAGCTGACATGAAAAAAGGTTAAATAATTTAAAAACGTTTTCAGACATAAATTATTTTTCCAAAAAAATTTTCTCTTGCTAATAATCGCTACGAGTAATGGTTGTCGATATATTTGGAATCGAAATTATCAATACCTGTCATTATTGACATAAATTAAACATGTTAACTAAATAGTTATTGACTAAAATAACAGAATTGATATGTTTCTGTGCCAAAAGTTCAACAGAAACTGTTTTATCATCATCTTTTCGAAGAAAAATTTATGATTAATTAAAAAAAATAAAAAGTTCCCAAATTTAATTTCATTTCAATCAAATAACTATCTACTCAACATGATTATTTTTTGTAATAATAACATGTATTGACTATTTCCATTCTACATATCTTGAGAACGGTTGATTATAGCAATTTTTACCAAGAGATATTTTTTAAGTAAAAAATCACGAAAATGTATATTGTTACACTCAGTAGTTTTATACAGTTACGGACGAAAAGTTATTACTCTTCAAAACAGTTAAAATACATGTAGTAAATCAAATTTGTCATGTCAAAAAACTTCCAAACATAAATTTTCATCCAAATATTGATGTTATTTCAGAAAATATTTGGAAAAAATCGAAATAAAAATGGAACTTCTACACCCTGTATCTCCGAAGCTAAGCATTTTAGGACATTCCTTTATACGAAGTTTTTACTTATTTTTATCTGCAGAATATGCTGCCGAAGTTTCCGGAAAACAGTTCGGACCATCCTGTATATATTTTTTCGTAACTTTCCGTAAGTTTCGTAAAACTTTTTGACGAAACGGAATTGACATGTGTGAATATACCTTAAACAATTTTATAATATTTAGTATTATCAAAAATCTGATTTAATAGGACATGTTAGTACGAGTATCCAAACAACCAAACTCGACAACGAATATCTACATAACATTTAGTTCATTGCCTTCCCAAAAAATGAGACACACACGCACACATAATCCAAAGTAAAGTACAAAAAATCTACGTAATTACCTAATACAGGAGATAATACCCGATGATAAAAGCTAATGTGAAGCTTCCCAAATTGTAGGACATATCGGCGAAACAAAAATCAGGCCGGTAATATTTGGTAAACAATGTCGGTAATGGCGTAATATGCGATGCAATCGGCAGAGTTTGCTGAAGATTAAACAGATTATTTTTGAGAACGCAAATAGTGTTAAGGTCGGCGAGGTTAAATAAAAATTAATCTGCGTTTTGGAATTTAATAAATCCGATATTAAGTTGAATTTAAAATAGAAAATATTATATATATTTTTTTTGTATCTCCCTATACTTTTATAGTTTTTGGAGCTTACATTTGTCCATTTACAGGAATATCGATTCGAAACGTCGAGGGCGTCATCCTGTAGCCCGTTCCCAATTATGCCGAAATCGACACACATTTTTCTTCAATATCAAATTCTTAGTCTCACAACGATAAAGACTACCAGCCCTGAAAATACACACACCGGAAAAGTCTAGGGATATTACAATTTTATCCAGCCATCGTCAGTAATTTTATTATTTGCATTTCTGATATAATAAAATCAAAATAAACAAATAGTTTACAGGATGTATTGGAAATAAAAATGCAAAATTTACCGAATTTTTCAAATTTACATTGATTTTTATTGCACTCAAAAAAATACACACATTTTTTTTTATTCTAAACTGTGAATTAAAAAAAAAGATAAAACCATTTTTACTTAATAAAGGGTATAGCCTCCTCTACTGTTCATTACAGCCCTACATCGTCTCTCCATGCTCCTGATCAGGTTGTCGATCTCTTCTTGAGGTACAGCCTGCCACGCTGCATTCACGGCCCGAACCAGATCCCTACGAGTTTCAGGAGGCATACCCATTCTCAAGATTCTTCTTTGGACCGCGTCCCATACGTGCTCCATGAGGTTGAGGTCAGGAGATTGTGCCGGCCAGGGTAAGATGTTTAATTCATGAGCATTGATAAACTCACTTACCACTCTGGTTGTATGAGGCCGTGCATTGTCATGCATGAGAATGAAGTTTCTCCCAAAATCATTGGCATATGGTAACACGACAGGCTCAAGAATTAAATCACAATATGTCATTCCTGTTAGAAACCTTTCAAGAAAAACGAGATCTGTTTTTCGGCCTAACTGGACTCCTCCCCAGACCATAACTGTTCCACCTTGATAAGGGTGCACTTCCTGAACATGATCCAACCGAATAAGATTTCCCGGTTCTCTCCATACCCTAGGCCTTCTCGAATCCGGATGAATTCGAAAGCGTGCCTCATCCATGAAGAGAACATTGGCCCATTATTCATTCGACTACTGAACATGATCTTGAGCCAACAAATATCGTACCTCTCGATTTCCTCTCGTTAAGGTTTGAGCTCTCCAGGGGCGTCTGCTTCTTAAGTTGACCTCTCTTAATCTATTGCGAACAGTGTCAGGACTAACGGTTACATTATGTGTTTCCTGGAGAATTAAACTAAGCTCTCGTGCTGTAAGAGTCGGTCGGCGTCGAGCATTTAATTGTAAAAAATGATCTTGCTGAGGAGTAGTAATGCGATGTCGTCCTGTGTGCCTTTCAGCAACATCACCACTTTCACGGTAGCGTGCACTTAATCGCGATATTACACTTTGCGTTGTATTTAATGATCTAGCTACGTCGATTTCGCGCATTTCAGCTTCGAGCATACCCATGGCCCTTAGCATTTCGTCTCTGTTATATTTGAATATTTCTGAATGTATATTATTGAATATATTTTTGAATGAATTCTGGCCAGTTATCATAAAAACATAGCCAGTACAGGTTAAATTCGAACAATTGATGCTATGTGCTTTTTATACATTTGACAAAAAATGCACAAACACTTCTGCAAATATCCCAAATTTAGAAAAAACTACTTCGTTTCAATCGAAATAGAAAGAATCGGCCTACAAATATGTGGTTGTTTATTCAAAACATTTATTTTTAACTTTAATAAAATGTTATCCCTATATTTTTCCGGTGTGTGTATTTGCACTTATTTAAGACTCATCCTGTATAAAGGATACAGATCGTGAAGAAATTATTGTTCCAATGTTTTCACTAAACTTGAGATTTTAATAAGAACCCTATCAATAAATAGTGATATGAATACAATAATGATTGTATTCATGAACGAGACGTTCAAATACATTCTTGTAAGCGATTAAATTCACTTAGAAGAGGCGTTTTTCCTGTTGACATACATTATTTATTTGCCATGGCATTCAATTGCTCGTATTTTTTTATTATTTCACCGATCAATGGATTTATAACGTTCGATCACACACGGCGCTTATTAGAAATATCTTTTGTCAATATTGGTTATTTGCTTATTTGCAATAAGAGATTTCGCTCGAGTGCGCTTGCAACATCTGCCTGGCAATTTTATTATATAAATAAATATGCATAATGGTGCATTATAAGGTATAACGAATATAAAGCAGTAGTCTATGATTTACTAGTCTCTGGCCAAAGCTCTATCTATTTCCGGGGCAGCGATTTTAAACGGTTTAGATAATGTTTTATAAAAGAAAATATTGTAGTGAGTTTTAATGGGAATATCGTGACAAAAGCCAACGCATGTAAGTGAAAATATTTGTTGTTATTTTATAAATATGTGACTAGGTTAAGTACCAAGGACACTAAGTTCTTAGTATGTAGTTAAATAAACAAGTTTATGTTTTTTTAATTTTATGGAAAAATGTCAGAAACTAAATTTTAATTTTAATAAGCTCAACATTTTACGTTGGTGTAGTGTAGTTTAGTGTCTTAAAAGTTTACGTTTGGTTTAAAGTATCACCACACAAAGTATCATTCGAGTTAATCACCGCGACCTTACAGATCTACTGTGTGTTCCCCTTTCTTGAGTTATAACGAGTTATAACTCATCATACAGTTTCTGGGCTTTAACAAAAGCCAGTATCTGAGACGGCTCCACAGAGGCCAGCTCTCCATCCTCGACATCAGCCGTACCAAAGTTCATGGCACGAATGTTCCTCGTCTCGGCGCACTCAGTGATAAGGTGTTCTGGTGTTTCCCCATTTTCCCCAAAGAATCTGCCTTCGCCGTTGTTTCTCAGCTTCAGCCTACTGAGGTGTTCGTTGAGGAGACAGTGTCATGCTAGAAACCCCGTGACAATCCGAAGACTGTTTTTACTTAAATCAAGGAAAACCTTTGATTTTTTTCGGTCGTAAGTCCTGAGGAACTTTTTCGAGTGTCTTAGACCGTTAGAGGACACCCATTCCAAGTTACGGATGGAGTCTTCCAGATTCTTCAGTTCCGCTTTCAGTTAGTTCCCGTTTGGAAAACAGAACGGTTCTGGTCCAGTTAGTGGAGTGGTACCTTAATATTTACCTTAGTAGATTTGGTACCTTAGTATATGACATAAATCAGGATTGTAACCTGAAAGTATCAGAAATAATTTAAACGTTATATTGTATTGTCGCTGCGGTATTTTCACTGTGGAGCCGGAACAGTGATTTACGGAATATGATAACTGTTACGGACTGTTCCACAATTGGAACTGTTCCAAAATCACTGTTCCTATAGTATTTTATATCAACTCTACCTGATAGGTATACAAGGTGTCCCAATAAAAAAAAAGTTACAGGATTCAGCGTAAAAAGTTCTAAAAGAATCCGTCTTTACTATTTTTTTAACAAATTATCAGTTAACTGAGATATGAGTATAGTGTCTGAAATTGAAACATTTTCAAAACTCACCTAATGATGGAACCAAATG